TGCCCAACAAAACAAAGAAACTGTTTAAGATTGAAAAATAGTAAAATCAACATATTCAAGGATAATAGTGAGGTGAGAATCTAAAAGTTTTAAAGATCATCTCACAAGAGACTACTAAACAGAAACCTATGTTAGGAAATGAGGGTTTAGCATTAGCTGATAAAGATTATTTTGTTAGAAGTGTCCCTTTTTATAGAAGTGCCCACTAACTGAGACTGATTCCAGTCTTTTCTGCTTCTTGCAAATGTACTTCATTGTAAATTAATCTCCTAGAACCAAATAATGCTTGTGAAGAAGCATGCACAGCACCTATTAAAATGAGGGAGAGTTGGATCTCCACTCAAAAGTCAGGACCCACCCTGTACGTACACATTTGACCCTTGAACAACACACATTTGAACTGAACAGGCCCACTTACACATGGATCATTTTTCATTAAATATACAGTCAGCCCTCTTGTATCCCCAGGTTTTACATCCACAGATTGAACCAACCACACATCAAAAACAGTATTTTCAATCCTTAGTCAGGAATCACAGATGCAGAGGGCCAACTGTATGCATTGCTCTACACCATTTTATATAAAGTGACCTGAGCATCCACAAATTTTGGTATCTGTAGGGGGTCCTGAAACCAACCCCCCATAGGTACCCAGAGACAACTGTAGTTATATTTGGGGGGAGTCAAAAGTTACATGCAGATTTCTGAGTACACAAGAGGCCATAACCCCCATATTGTTCAAGGGTCAACTGTAATTCAGAAGTCTTGGAGAAAGTAGTCTTTTTAAATTTGTATTATAACATGCTGCAAATTTCATTTTTGTCAGATTATTTTTGCAAATTGCACCATTAAGAAATAAAATGTTACATATCAAACAACATAGAACAGGTGGAGTTTGGGGGGAAAAGCTTTCATAAGAAGTAATTTTAAATGGGTAAACAAAGCCTTTAATAATCTGAATGAGATGGCTGAAACATATATCCTCGCCTTTTAAATTAGAACGTAATACCACTGGATTCACCTAAATGACTATACTATATATTTATAATAACACTCATCGTATTTCCCCTCCTTAATAAAACTCTAAGGTCTGAAGTAACCCTATTATATCACTATACCTCATTTTATTTTTACTTATAAAAAAGTAACTTTATGATACCTTTTTACCAAGTAGGATTTAATGCAGGTATTATGCCCATTTCACAGTTTTAACTCCTGCACTGAGCAGGATCCTTTAAACTTTTGTTAACAAATATTTGCTTAATTAGAATTAGTTGTTGAAATATGAAACCACCAATATTTAAGCATAAAGCTGAAATCAGAGTTACACCCCCCTATTGGCAGCACCTGTAGTCCAAAATTATCCTGTGTATGTGGTTGTCTAATTTTATTGTGATATAATACAGTGAAACTCATGGTAATACATCCTATAATGATGTGAGAGATATTTTTATGTAGTTGGTGATTGACTTTTGCATTCAACCAAATCAAGAAGATGCGAATTCCTTTAACAATCATATACTATTTTTATGACAGTGTCACACAAAGATGCTGCTGTTTCCCCTGGCACAGCTACCACCTTTAGCTAAATGTACGATTTGAATCAACTCTAGAATCTTTTCAAGATATTCTGGCTTTTGTCTTTTTCTCATGCTCAACAATATGAATGGTCAATTATATCTAATACATTATAATATGTATAATAAGAAGAAGCTTTCTGAATCCTAATGGGTAGGATTGGTGGAGGTGGGGATAAAGGTGATTTTTATTACCATTTACTCCAGGCCCTATATCTTGGTCTGTCTTTAAACTTTCTTAGAGCTTCTTCCAAATAATTTTGAGAAATGTCATGTTGAATATTTTTTGTAGCCAAATCCTGAATTTTTAAGTTAATATGCCACAGTTCTATAGCAAGAATAGCATCCTTGGGTAAGGTTTATAGAGTTCACACCAAAATGAGATAAGTTTTAACATATTTAAATAAGTTGAAATAATTTCACAACAGAAAGGGGTCTGAGATCATTTTATCCAGTGGTTATCAGATGTGACACTGCATCAGACTGACCCGAGGAGCTTGTATTGTAGAAAGCAGAGACTCCTAGGTAACGCCTACAGCAATTTCACTTCAGTGTATCTGTGCAAGGTCCCAGAATTTGTATTTTTATAACTTTAATCCATTGCCAGGCTGCAGATAGGCATTTTGGAATCACTGATCTAGTGTAATGCCCTGCAGACAAGAATTACATTTAATTCATTTTTAGTTTCCTACCTGGGCCAGCAACGTGCTAGGCACATACCAAGTGCAAAATAAATGTTTGCAGAAGATAGGGCCAAAAGCAAGTAGAAAGAGAAGTTCTACAACTTGTGAAGATTCCACAGCTAACAGGCATTAGAACCCAGTTCTTGTTTGGCACAGCAATAGCAGGAAGAGGGCTTCTGGATCCTCTTTTTCTCCAAAGCTTCTTCAGATCAAATATAGTAAAAACCCTTCAAAATCGGTGGTCTCATAAGAGTATGTTATGGACACAGGTGTATATGTTCAACAAAAAGTAGGCACAACTGCCATCGTATTTAGCACATTGTAGTAATTTCTTTGATACTAATTGTGTTAGGTATTATAAATATATATATTTATATAGTTCCCTTTCCTGGTTTGGTACATTAATCATACGGATGTGTTAAATATTGGTTAAAATGCATTGTGTAATAAGTTTCTTGAAGCTAGGAAACAGAAATATCACAGGCAACATTATTACTTTACTTCTCTAGTCTGCTCTCTCGGAAAAATTTTGTTTGTGGAAAGTTGTAACTGCAGCTATTGGATGACTCTTACAGGAATGCCCTTTTGATCAGGTGTACTAGATAGAATTCAACTTACTTCCAAATAAGTCTTCAGTATAAACCAGGGGGGTGCAATGGCATCCTTTGGTTGTTGCATCAACATTTTAGAACATGGCTACAAGTTCTCTAGGAGGAGGAGGGGGAGGGAGTGAGGAGAATGAAATGGAGTGAATAAGAATTGTTGAGCTGCAAACTCTTCAAATTGGTTTATATTGTCTCCTGCATGAAATCTTCAATCCCATCACACTTTGTCTCATTTAAGGACATTTAAAAAGTTGTAAGTCAGTTTGCCCAAGAGTTCATTGTTAACACAATACCACTTATCTCAAGGGATTTTAATTTGTCAGAAAATAGCACAAGTTATAGTCATCACTATGTAAGGACTTAAGGAGAAGTCCTGCAAGACAGTTGTTACTATACGTGAAGTGTTATACCGTACTTCGCCATGTATAATGTGCTCTGTGTATATGCGCAACCATGTTTTTGGCCCAAACTTTCAAGAAAAAAAAATCTTTTGTTTTAATTCTTTAATTCAATTATTTATGTATTTATTTTTGGATACTTGTTTTTTGTATTATAAAGGAATTTTAGCATTTATTTTTTAACATTATGGTACAAGAAATTTTATGTAACAAGTAAGTACAAAACACAAGAAATACAAGGTATTTCAGGTACTACCCATGTATAATGCACATCCTTATTTTTCCCTGAACAATTTGGGCAAAAAAAGTATGCATTATACATGTGTATACATGCATTCATACATGGCAAAATATGGTAAGTCATTTGATAACTTCTTCCATTCTCTTCATCAGTATGAATGGCACTGATGAGTCCTTTGAATTGAACCACACAATGGTGCTGTATCTTTTTGTAACTAAAGGGCTTTTCACAGGCAGTGGGCAAGGTGAAGTTTAAAACAACAGCAGGGCACTGCTGCAGAAAACACTGTGAGCATATCCAACCTGAAATGACTTAACTAGTAACACATGAAAGATAAACTCACTAGCCATAATAACCCCCAGCATACTTAATGAGTATAAAAACTGTGGAAATACTTTTTCTCTAACTTGTGTGCGTGAATTACTAGTTCTTGGGTATGGAATGGAGAAGGGAAGTTAAAACGCATAGTAGTTTAATATATACCCTCACTTGCCCAGAGTAGTCAGTCTATTTTTTTATATTATTTTCCTGTTAAGTATAAACTTTGTGAATCCATTTTTCCTGTGAATTAGGTAAGAATCAATCCAAGGGCATGATTAGGAAAAATAGAGAAAAATTATTGGAACTGATTTGAGCAGAAGCTCAAAAGCCTTAACAGGATGGAAACTAAGGAAATGCTATGGATAATAATTGTGAGATGAAAGTAAGAGAAACCTATTGATGGAAAGGCTACAGTTAACATCTTAAGTTAGCAATCACCTATGCACTGGCCTCTCTGAGAAGTACTTTGCCATTAACCTGTTCTATTCGGAGTGTACCGAGCTTTCCATGGCTCAGTATAGAGACTTTCTGCTACTTGAAGTGAATATCATCATGTGTGTCCTCTGGTCTGTGTTTACATGAAATGAATATTTTCTTTTTCTAACGCATTAGCAAGCTTCCGAAGGGTTGAGAACTTATTTCTTCATTTTTTTCCAATTTCCTCCAATCAGCAGCATTAGTCTCAGTAAATGTTCAACCCATCAGGCGTAGAATGAAATAGATTATGAACTGAAAAGTTATAAAAGGGTTTTTCCTTTCCGTTATCACTCCTGAGTCTCACATATTATACCTTAGCTACTCTCTTGCTACCCCCTTAACACATTATTCCCCATTTCTGTGTCCCTGTTATTTCCATCTTTCATTGTAATCTTCTTGAGGGTAGGAACTATGTCTTGTGATTCGTTGCTGCATCCTCCACTTCCAGCATATATCTGACATAGGAGCTACAGAGTAGAAGCATGTTCTATGTGTAGGCATATCAAAGTTGCCTCAAATGTGAATTTGGGATAATTATGTTTGCTTGACTTAAAAAGAAAATCAACTCTACTTTTGTCTTCACCGTCTTAAAGAGATCTGCATATATTATCAAAATAATACAACAATTACTTTTTATGTTCTTACCATTTTACTCAAATTAATGTTTAAAAATACTATTTTCTTTTACTTTATTCTAGAATTGAACAATGCCACAAAAACATTCTTCACTAAAGAATATTTGAAAATAAAACAAAGCTTTCAGAAATCCAGCTCTGCAAAATGGCCTCTACCAAGCTGCAAAAAAAAAGCATTCCGTCTTTTTGGAGGTAAGGAAACGAACCCCTCCCCCTGCAAAAAAAATATCTACTAACTTTGTCCAAGCTCTGTTTTTAAAACTGTTTACTTCCTGCCTTAGAAATGTTAGTAGAAACATATCTTTGAATTGATCAATTTTTAGTAAGGATTTTGCTGAAAGCCACAGGCATACATATGAAGAAAATGGAGACTATGCCATAAGAGCAAAATTTGCTTTGCTCTCATTGTTTTATGTGTAAATAATGAAATTAATCTCAAAAGTAACAGATTCGTCAAATGCTGTATTTGACAATAACACTGATATTCTTTACAAAGATTCTGAATAATTCATTATCATAAGCTGTCTATTTAGTTTTAATATTTTATAGTTGTCCCACAAGATTAGGACAAGTAGAAAGTGGCTGAGCCTTGGTGTAGAGAGTGTCTCAAGAGACATACAATGGACTGAGAATACTGCTTTCTGTATTCAGGCAGATCTAATGAGCATCTGACCTCAGGGATGTCATTAAAACCTCTTCTATTTTTTTTTTTTTTTTCAGTTTTTAAAAAAATTTCTTTTTAGACAGAAGGGAAGGGAAGGAGAAAGAGAGGGAGCGAAACATCAACGTGTGGTTGCCTCTTGAGTGCCCCCAACTGGGGACCTGACCCACAACCCAGGCAGGTGCCCTGACTAGGAATCGAACTATCAACTTTTTGGTTCACAGGTTGGCACTCAATCCCCTGAGCCATACCAGCCAGGGCTCTTTTTTTAGCTTTATTTTTATTGTTTATGCTGTTACAGTTGTTCCCACGTTCTCTCCTTTTCCCCACCTCCCCCCAGCCTTACCTTCTCTGCATCACAAGCCTATTTCCACATTGTTGTCCATGTCCATGGGTTGTGCACAAATGTCCTTTGGTTAATCCCTTCACCCCATCTTTCATCCCATCCCCCCAATTCTGGCAACTCTCAGTCTATTTTATGTATCTAAACTTCTGTTACCATTTTGTTCATTGGTTTATTGTGTTCATTAGTTTCCGCATATAAGTGAGATGATGTGGTATTTTTCTTTCACTGATTGGCTTAAATCAGTTAGCATCGTTTTCTCCAGGTCCATCCATGCTGTTGCAAAATGTAAGTTTCTTCATTTTTACTGCTGTATAGTATTCCATTGTGTGAATGTACCACAGCTTTTTTATCCACTCATCTACTGATGGGTACTTACGCTGTTTCCAAATATTAACTATTGTAAATAGTGCTGCTATGAACATAGGGGTGCCTATATATTTTATTTTGTATTGGTGCTTTTGGATCTTTGGGGTATATTCCCAGAAGTGGAATTGCTGGGTCAAAAGGCAGTTCCACTTTTAATTTTTTAAGGATACTCCTTACTGTTTTCCACAGTGGCCGCACCAGTTTGCATTCCCACTAATAGCACACTGGGGTTCCCTTTTTTCCTCAACCACACCAAGTTGTTTGTTGATTTATTGAGGATAGCCATTCTGACAGGTGTAAGGTGATATCTCATTGAGGTTTTAATTTGCATTTCTCTGATTATTAGTGATGTTCAGCATTTTTTCATAGATCTATAGGTGCTCTGTGTGTCCTCTTTGGAGAAGTATCTATTCAGGTCTTTTGTCCATTTCTTATTTGGGTTGTTTGTCTTCCTGGTGTTGAGTTGGATTAGTTCTTTGTATATTTTGGAGATTAAACCCTTGTCAGATGTATCATTGGCAAAACTGTTCTCCCATACAGTAGGCTACCTGTTCATCCTGTTGATAGTTTTTTTTAGCTGTACAGAAGCTTTTTTATTTGATGTAATCTTGTTTGTTTATTTTCTGCTTTGCTTCTGGTGCCTTAGGAGATACATTGGCAAAAATATTTCTAAATTGTATATCTGAGATTTTACTCCCTGTGTTTCCTTCTACGATCTTTATGGTTTCACAACTCATATTTAAGTCTTTAATCATTTTTTAGTTTATTTTTATGTATGGTGTAAGCTACCATCTAGTTTCATTTTTTTAAACCTCTTCTTTTGTTTCTGTCTTCTGATCTATAAAATGGGAGTAATTATATCTGCCCCGCCTAATTAACAGAATTGTTGTAAGGATCAAATAAGCAAATGTGATAATACATTTTAAATTATAACTAATTGCACTATATAAATAAAAGGAATTATCAAAATAAGGGCAAGGCAATCTCTAATACCTTTGAGAATTTGTTACTCTACAATATGGACATAAAATACAATTTCACCTTTTCTAAAACCATGGTATGTCAGAGCATGAACTACTGTACACTTTTGGTACTTGCCCCTTATGATGTTATGGGGTCCGGTTGGAAAGGTCTAGATATGAGATATGAGGAACTATGATCCTCAGAGACCAGGAGGGACTTCTGTATAAGAAGATGGATAATACCGGCACAGCAAGGACGTCGACCAAAAGGAGAAAGAGATAGAGTCTGAATGGTCAAGATAAAAAAAATATATACAGACTCCCTGAGGTTTGAAAAAAGTCATTTAAGGACAAATATAACTTTATACAGTGGTTTGAATGAAGAAAGTAGTTTAAAGACATTATGTAAGCACATACTATTTTTTTCAAGTGGTTAGTAACTGTAGAAACTCATTATCCACAGATTTGGTATAAAGAAAACATTTAAACTATACCACATTTGGCTCAAAATATAATATAAAATCAAATATAAGAAAATCAGTCTTACTTAAGGGATTTCATACCAAAGAAGAAAAAAGTTATGATATGAGTTAAGTGTTTTAAAAGATTCCATTGTATCCAACCTTCTAACCATACACCCAAATTTTCAAAAGAATGAAGCACCTTTCTGATAACCCCATAATTTCCTTCATCTTTTTGTATTCTGGGGTACTAAAGATATAATTTAAACAGTTGCTTCTCTGTGATTTCATCTTATTTATCTTCTACATAGGAATTCCACAGAACTTAACTTTTTATAAGTTTTTATATAGGAGGTTCAAAGTAGCTTTAACCTAACTTAAGGAATATAATGTGTTACTGTCAGGAGCTCAGCTGAGCTGAGGAAGAGCTGAGCTGATAAGCTCAGCCAACACTGAATGAGTTAAGCCTTTAATCACTTGGTGCAATGTGTAAGCAAGAGTCTAAAACCAAGGGACATGCCAGCTCCTCCGACCCCCACGCTGTTTCTCCCTGTGGAATGACACACTGGTCCAGAGTCAGGTAGATCAGTAAGAGTGGGGGTCATCTCACTGCTGAGGGTGTTCTGACCAAAAAACACTGGCAGTTTTATGGTCCCTAAGCTGGGGGCGGGGGGAGGGGGACACAAATTAGCAGGGCTAGGAGTGGAAAGTATGTACTAATTCAGAGTCAGAAAAAATGTCTTCAAGGTTTCCCCCTTTCACCCCTTCAAAGAGGTCTCCACAGAGGTGCCAGAAGAAGCCCTCTGCCCTAGGCCTCGGATAAAGGACCTAGGTAGGAATGCAAGTGCTGGGACTGGGAATGTGAGTGTGCGAAAGAGCATCACGCGCCAGGGGGCCGGAGACCTTGAGCGCAGCTCCTTCCCAGTATTCACTGGCCGTACAGCAGGAGTGGTGTGGGCTCCTTTCTCCCGTGAGGCCTGCCTGGTGAAGGCTCTGTAATTGTCACACATAGGATTTTTTTCCTGAATTCTTTTTTTTCCTAAATGTGCATTTTATTTTCTTTTTATAAATTTATTGGGGTGACATTGGTTGATAGGATCATATAGGTTTTATGTGTACATTTCTATGATTCCAGATTTGTATATTGCACTGTATGCCCACCACCTGCAGACAAAGCATCTTCCATCACCATGTATAAGGACCCCTCCCCCACCCTTTTCCTCTGGCAACCACCACATTGCTGTCTGTGTCCGAGAGTTTCAGCTTTATGTCCCACATATGAGTGAAATCATAATAGTTCTTAGCTTTTTCTGATTGACTTATTTCACATAGCATATTCTCAAGGTCCATCCACGTTGTCACAAATGGCAGTATTTCATCTTTTCTTACGGCTTAGTGTCCCATTGTATATTTTTACCACATGTTATTTATCCATTTCTCCCCCGAAGGACCCTTTGGTTGTCTCCATGTCTTGGCCATTGTGGATAATGCTGCAGTGAATGTAGGGGTGCATATATCTTTGCAAATACATGTTTTTGAGTTTTTTGGGTAGATACCCAAGAGAAGGATTGCTGGGTCATATGGTAACTCTCTTTTTAGCTCTCTGAGGAACCGCCGGACTGTTTTCCATAGTGGCTGTACCAGTCTATATTCACAAACTGGATTTCTTAATTATTAGTATTACTGAAGTACCTTCTGTACTTTTGTTTGCTTTCTGTTCCCTGACTTTTGTAGTTATTATTTCTTTATATACGTATACATATGTATACATAATTAACATTATTTAATTTTGGTTGTTTTGAACATTTGCAGTGGTAGCAACATATATACCCTTCTGTATGTGCTTTGTCACTCAGCATTGTTTCGTGGATTCATCCATTTCAGAGAGTGTAACCACATTCATCTTTACTGCTGTACTGTAGTCCATTATGTGAACATGGCACGGTGTATCCATTCTCCCAATGATGAGCAATTTAGTTGCCCAGGTTTTTGTTATAAAAAATGCTATTATAAACATTTTCCATGTCCCCTGGAGCATGAGTTTCTCTAGGATGAATTACATTAGAAAACTGCTGGTTCATAAGAAAAGCACATCTTTAAGTTGATTACCTAAACCAAACCATTTTCCTAAATGACTGTATTGATTTATGACCAGCTTAATCTACAAATTTGATATTTTCAACTTCAGATTTTGCCAGCCTGATAGAGATAAAATAATATCAGGGTTTTTATTTCAATTTCTCTAATTACTTAGGGGAATTGAACATAGCTTTATATGTGTATTGAGCAATTGAGTTTCTTCAACTGTGATATTCATTTATTAATTTTGTCCATTTTTCTTGTTGATTTTTGAGAGTTGTAAAAATATTTTTTGGTGACTCCTTTTTCTGCTAATT